TAAATGAAGTACCTCAGACAAGCGGTGAAAATTTGTTTGAAATCATATCCAAAATTGGGTCTATGATACAATATCCGATTACAAAGACAGGTTAATTTCGTCACGAGGGTACCAACCCGTGAGATGGAGCACAACAAACTGATAATAATCTGTTTCTGCAATCGCTATGTGAAGGAAGATTTTGTGGCGGCAGCCAGATATGCATCGAAGACTAGTCATCTCACATCAAGCAATTTGGGATTTGTGGGCAACAATAGGATTTACATCAATGACCACCTAACCGTGCACAATAAGAACTTACTCTTTAAAACAAAAAAGGCAGCGGTTGAAATGAATTTTCGCTATATCTGGGTCAAGCATGCCACGTAAGAAAAACCGATACATCGCATATAATTATAGTGAAGTCTGAAAGAAACCTTTCAAAAATAGTGTGATGTTAAACTCATTATCTTTTTACTCTATTATTATTATTCATAATGTTAAACTTACTATTTGTGTGATGTTAAACTTATTATCTTTCTATTATATTACTATTATTCATAATTTCTTTTTATACTACACAAAACTTTTAATATTGCAGTTTGAGATGCATACGCTATCGCGGTGTGTTTAAGTATTTCTCATTTAGTTATGCAATTACGTATTCTTTTACATTATAATTTTTAAACATCTTACCAATATCGATAAACTATTTTTAAATCTTGTTACATGTAGCTTGGTTCGCTTTTGGTCTATTCATTTGCTAACGAATATGAACAATATTTGCTTGTTGATATCTTGTACGTATATCATTGATTTTATTCATTGGTCATTAGTCGTGTGCACTCGAGACTCCCGTATTGCATACGACGGCGCATTATTCCACCTTTATAAATTATCTACCCGCTTTTATATGGCATTTTCGTTCTATGTTTTAAATGTTACTTTTCTAATACTAGTTAATTTACTTTTATTGGAATGCTGCATTATGACAATGAATTTAGTTATAGTTACGTTCAATCATGGAATCGATTAAAATATATTACCAAAATGTACGCGGTTTACGAACAAAAACATTTAACTTGTTTAGGATCGTATGTTTAAATTCGTATGATATTATTATATTTACCGAAACGTGGTTGGTCGATAGTATACATAACAGTGAATTATTTGATGGCCGATATTTAGTATGGAGTCGGGATTGCAATTACTGAGCACTTCACAAACGCGTGGGGGTGGTGTTACTAATTGTTGTGAGGAATGATCTTTCGGTAGTGGAGAGGGGGACTGGCGTAGTTCAGCGGAAGATATTTGGGTCTCTATTTTACTAAAAAGATCCAGACCGCAAGTGACATATAATATTAACATTTGTGCGCTTGTGTGCTAAAGAAAATATCGGTAACTCATATAATATCAATTGCAAAATTTCACACAAAATATTACGAGGGCATATGCGTTTCGCGTCGAAAACTAAAGATGAAGTATTTATTTAGTACATAGCAGTGCAAAATCATAGTTTTTAATGACGGTTTTTTAGGGCGAAGACAATCCCTTCACTGTGTTTTACGAAAATATGCATCAGAGTTATCTTTCAGGTTGAATACAACTATTATTATAAACTAAAATACTTTATTTTAAGCGTTATTATAATGAAATATATAGTCTTTTAGGGTATAGCAAAACCTAAATTACGATCATATTTCAATTTAATATTATAAAATAATATTATAAAATCACCAAAACTGTCTACTTCAATGTAATTTTTTTCCATGTATTTGCTTATAAACATATCTATTTTAATTATTTTATCAAAATACATGTAATGTTAAATATCCAAAAAAAATTTTAGCTCGTTTTATTTTGTCAATTATTTTATATAATTATTTTAAAAATACTATAAAACATCATGCGCAGACGCCAGTGTTGCCGTTTTAGCGACTTTCTCGCTAGATCTAGCGGATTTTAATAATGTTTAGCGGATAAAAAAATCGTTTTAGCGAGAAATAATTATTTAGCGACTTCTAGCGACATTTGGACTTTTGAGATGGCGACTTTTTTATGAAGTAATCATTTCAAATAAGTAATTTATCATATGTCCAATTTTGTAATCTACCGTTGGAAGCACTCTATATATAATATAATTTCACGGGAATTCCCGAACATAAACAATGCAATGTCGTTAATTCACTTTCTCTGTTTCGACCTGAGACCATGTTCTAAGGTTTCGACATACAAAAATGCATCAGGAGTAAACATATTCGAAGATTTATGTAATTTTGCAATAGTAATATTATCACTACCGCACTCAAATGCAGAATTTGACGCGTATTTGGTGCTACGAATGTAGTTAAAAGCAAACTGTGAAAACAAGCAATCAGAAAAACGTTTAAATTCCATCCGTCTAATTAGAAATCAGTTAAGGATTAAAAAAGAATTGCGCAACGTATGATATTCTCGAAGATCTTGTCAACCAAGTCGGTAAAGGTAAACCAAAGATGGGAACTGGAGACATTGGCGAAGCTTCAACTTCCGCTGAAGTTCTTTTTGAAGATCTGGATCCATACTTCGCTATTAATTTTGAAATTTAGGTACAAGAACGTACTGAGCTAATTGTTTTATTTTTAATAAGATGACTAATGTTTAAACGTGGTTTAAAGAGATTTGTTTTTTTACAATATTTTTTATTTTGTACATGAATAATTTTTGTTTTGGTTGTCATGTCATTAACCTACACTATATATAATTAATTTATATGAAATAGAGTCCGCTCTTTTTAAGGTTTTCTGAATTTATAGATTTAGATTTTCGGTATTCTTTGTATACCATTTGGCAAGATTTTTCAGTTAGACCAACGGTACCACGAAAATGTACCTAGGGACTTCTAGCGGATTTTAAGAAAAAGAAAAATCCTGTTTCTGGCGGATTTTTTCTATTAGTCTAGGGACTTTAAAATTTGTAAAACGGCAACCCTAGACGCAGTTCGATTCAGTACGCTCCGGGTAATCCCAACGACAGGACGTATTACTTTTTCTCACCGACACCGCGCTATCGCGTTGATACACCGATAGGGCTATAAGTACTACACCATACTATAACTAGATACCTATAGCACCATCGAGCATTTTAAACGATTCACTTTTATAAGCGATATTTTTGGTAGTAGGTAAGTACCTAATTTTGAAATATGTTTATGATTGTAATATTTAAATATTAAATGATGTAATGGTGGCAAATTTTCATTTCATACATATTTTTTTAGAAATGAGTAATTGAACGTAAGCAATTCGGATCAAGTAAAAATACAAAATCGTTGGCTTTCACCTTTGGCTCCGTGGCGGAGTGACTTGGTAATGATTTGTAGCGCTGAGCGCCGCAGGTTCGAATCCCACATGGAAAAAAATTTTGTATTACCTACAAATAATTGTTCCAGGTCTGGATGTTTGTCCTTGTGAAATTAATGTATTTAAACTGCCCCAACGATGTATGTACTTAGGAAAAATTACTAGTGTGGAGATAACGTTATGATTAAACAAAGACATGCCATCAAAAACATAACGTAAAATAACCAAGTCTCGCAATGATGATACGGCCGTGCCGCTGTTTTGGTCTACATGGCGGGGCACTACCGTGCCCCCCAGATATAAAACATATGAGCCGTGCTTGAGTTGAGTAGCTCAATGGCGTAGTGCTCGCCGTAAACGCGAACAATCCGGGCTCGATCCCCGCTAGTGTTGCCAGGTGTCCCGATTTGCGCGGGACGTCCCGATTTTCAAAGGTCTAGTGACACGTCCCGATTCATCATTGATCGGGACGCCAAATGTCCCGATTTTCACTAACCACATTAAAATATTTTTACTACGACATTGTCTCACCAGTCGAAAAAAACCCACAAAAGTTTTAAACAGAATTATATTAAAATGAGTGATTTGAAAAATTCAGGGACTGCAAAAAAAACAAGTAGTTCAAAAATGTTTTAATTTGCCTAAAATGAAAAAAATTCAGTTTTTACGATGTTTGGATGAAAAGTTATTCGTTCATGAGATCAGACTCGAATAATAATTATAAAGCACAAAAATAAAGTTACAGTCACAATTTCTCGCATTACTCGCATTTTTACAGCATCTTCTTCGTCTTCGCATATTTACAGTTAGCGTTGACCATCTGAGCTACCACGGCTCTCAAGAAAGCACAAAAGGCTACAAAGAAACCTATATTTTGTAGTCATTCTAGTTGTCCGGATATGAAAACCAAATCCCCGATTATTTTTACCTTCCGTCCCGAAATTTTACTTGCTAGACCTGGCAACACTAATCCCCGCCGACACTGATGAAATTGTTAGTTTGATGAATTATGTTTACATTATGAAACAGAATAAAAGTTTATCAAATGATATATATTTTATACAATACATATTTTTCAATTAGAACATATACATATTATAATATACTCAATAGGGTGAAAATGTAAAGCCGACTTCAATTTACTAAAAAACAATTTCCACATATTAGCCTCCGATTTCTATACACTATATAAGTAAGCCATTATATGGAAATTATTTTTTTATTATTTTAGTTCCAACAGTATCAAAGACAGGTATATAATCAACGATCAAAGTGATTCGTAGTCGTCGTTAGGCAACTATTATAGCCTCACGCTCGCCCTGACACGCACATAGAGATAACATTGTAGTGTGCGTCATTATTACGCCGTTCCAAAGCGATCGCGTAGATTTTGACTTGGACATATTTGAATATGCGCTCTTAATACCATAATTATGTCAAATTCGTGATAAATTCATAATCGTAGGTGATTTCAATTTTGGTAGTCAAGTAGATTGGAATGTTTGGAGCGTTGGTTGTGTTATTACCTACCAATTATTCCTGTCAATATATTTTCTCAACTCTGTTCACACTTGCAGCTTATCTCAATATAATTGTATACGTAACTTAAATGGGAGACTACTTGACTTGGTTTTCTCTAATGACCTTGTAGATGTTAAGGAATGTTATGAACCATTAGCAATGCCCGCAGATATGCACCATAAACCTTTGATTATAAAGGCTGACTTTGTTGAAATACACAAACTAGTTGATAAGAAGAAAAACACTTATCTTTTTCACAAAGGTGATTACACGGCTATCAGCTCAGCTCTTGACCAGGTAAACTGGTATGAGCTTTTGGGAAATGACTCTCTAGACAATGTTGTTAATCTCTTTTATAATAAATTATATGAACTTAGGGACCAGTTTATTCCCATAAAATCCACTAGACGTTCGTCACACCCTCCATGGTATAATTCTGCGTTACTAAAGGTCTTAAAAGAAAAACACAGGTATCATCGCAAGTTTAAACTATATGGTAATTTATCCGACTACCAATCTTTTGCATTATTACTCAAAAGGGCTAACCAGTTAGAGCGGGACTGCTTTGAATCCTATATTGATAAAGTCGAATCTTCCATAACTAGTAACCCAAAAATTTTCTGGTCTTTTATAAAAAGTAGGAATATAGCATCTGCTACTCCTAATGTAATGTATTACGAAGAATCTTCTGCGAATACTGGTGAAGGAATTAGTAACTTGTTCGCTAAATATTTTAGTACTACGTTCGTTAAACCAGAATTGGAAATTTCGGATCCTAAATTATATCCTACAACTGATAATAATATTAACGGTATTAGCTCAAAACACATCTCAGAAAAAGGTATCTTAAAGCTATTACAAAGCCTCGACATTTCTAAATCTGGTGGCCCCGACCTCATACCACCAATATTTATCATAAATTGTGCAGAAAGCTTAGTCAAACCCATTAGTATAATCTTTAAGCGTTCTTTAACAGAAGGAATAGTTCCACAAGTTTGGAAATCTGCATTCATAACACCGTTATTTAAAAAAGGCGATAAGTCAAATGTCGGAAATTATCGTCCCATCTCGAAGTTATGGCTGTTCTCTAAAGTTCTTGAACGAATCATTTATAATGAAGTCTATTATGCAGTACAAAACTGTTTGGGTGAAGAACAACATGAGTTTCTTCGAAAGCCTTCAACCAGGCCAATGAATTCATCACTAAAGGCATGGAGCAGCGTGCACAGGTAGACGTAATTGACACAGATTATACTCGTAGCAAGTGTTTTGGTTGTATTAACCATCGTGTCCTGTTACAAAAGCTATTAGCTGCGGGAATACACGGTGACTTGTATAGATGGTTTTGTTCGTATATAGAGAATCGGTCACAGGCTGTGGTTTTGAGTGGTTACATCTCTGGTTGGCGTACAATTCCATCTCGTGTTCCTCAAGGTTCATTACTTGGCCCCCTCTTATTCGCAATATTTATTACTTGGCCCCCTCTTATTCGCAATATTTATTGCTGATATTAAGTCATGTTTTAAAAATTCTCTTATTCTACTTTACGCCGATGACATGAAAATTCTTAAAACTATTCATAATGTAATAGAAATTAAACAACTTCAAGAAGACCTAAACAGGTTTTCTGATTACTGTAAACTCAATAAGTTTCAATTAAATATCTCCAAATGTTCTCATATAACATTCACACGACAAAGATCTAGAATTGGATTCGGTTATACTCTTAATAATCAGACTATTAGCATGGTAAATCATATTCATGATCTCGGCGTAATATATGATAGTAAATTGGTATTCGACAAACACATTGAATATATTGTCAACAAAGCATCCAAGGCTCTTGGTTTCATTTTAAGAACTTCAGACTGCTTCCGCTGTCTTAAAGCTATTAAGATTTTATATTGCTCATATGTGCGTAGTCATTTAGAATATGCGTCCCAAGTATGGAACCCATAATATAAAGTTTACATAGCTCGTATTGAAAGTATACAGAAAAAATTTATGAGATACCTCGACTTTAAGGCACAAAAACACTCAGCCAATTATTTTGAAAGATGTAGGAGATATAATTTTTCCCGTTGGAATATAGACGTAAAGTCAATGATATTTGTTTCCTAGTTAATATAGTAAATGGATCTATTGATTCTTCTGAGCTACTTACTCACATAATGATTCGGACCGATTTAATGAGATTTAGACAGCGACCCTTGCTATATATACTTCTTGCTTCAACGAATTATAGAAGAAATTCTTTCTTTCTGCGTAGAACAATGGAATTTAATAAGCTTTCACCTGTAATAGATATTGACCTATTTTCCACTAGTTCTAAATCTGTAAAAAAAGTGATGAACAGAGAATTTTTCATTCGTAGCCGCGACTAGCATGACTCAAGTTGCTCATTGACTCATTTTTTTTTTGGTTAATGTTTTTGCAGTTTTTTTGTTATTGTTTTTGTAATAGTTTAAGTATTCCCTAAAGTATTTTTAAATTTGTATAAATTTGGATAAAAGTAATATGTGGAGGCTTGTAATTAGCAATTTTATCACCATTTTGTAACTTTACAAAGATATCAGTCTGTAAGCCTTCCTAAAAGAAATAAATAAATAAATATGCCATCAGGCCCACTCGACTTGTGGACGTCCAGGGAGAGGAGTGCTTTGCGAACCGAGCGCTGTGTGAACCGCACCTACGGCATGGAGCACTCACACCGCGGGATGGTCGGCGGCGTACTCCCCCCGTCATCGAGAGTCGAGTTGGACGCAAAGAAAGAGCCTAGCAGAGTAGCAAACAAGCTTAGTTTAGCATCGGCAACATTTGATAACATAGTGTAATGATTAATAAATAAACTCTAGAATAATCGACTTTTTAATAAAATATGTACTTAGTTTTAGTTAATCAAACATTATTTGGTATTTGTAGTTATTTAAATATTATTCTATATTACATTCAGTAAGAATTTATATGTTATAATTATTCATTTAGTAAAGTACCTACTCATTACTCTATTAGTTATTTATTATTAAATTTTCCAGTGGAAAGAAAACGATAGTTCTTCCGCCGGGCAAGGTGTTCAACTCATACCTAACAAATTATAAACGTACTTACATTAAAAAAATATCTATATTTAGTTTTTACCTAAAACTGTTTTACTAAGTGGCAACACTCATTTGCCTTGGAATAAGCCTGGGTAGACACTAGACAACACACTCCTACATATTTCTAGCGCCAAATAGCAATGCTTGTACTCATCGATATATATATATATATATATATATATATATATATATATATATATGTACCTACTACGCACTAGATTTGGCATTCCGAACACGCACTATGTTCAACTGACCTGTACTGCAATCCGTACACCTGTTATTGTGGCTTCGATATCCATCAGTGCGGAGCGTCGCTAATAATAATTTTATATTAACCCTTAACCACCTAGCGTCGGTCACAGTGACTCTAGGCGATATATTTTTTCAAATATTTCCGTTATTAGACTGGCCACGCGCCTGTGACTCTATGTACTTTTTCCCCGCCTTCACCAGTTTTCGCCCTGCGCTCGACCAAGCAACACGTGCGCGCAATAAAAAAATACAGGTAAATATATTTCGCATGCGGTCATGGTGACCGACGTTAGGTTGTTACGTTACTTTTAGTGCTAACGTGATCAAAATATCATTAGATGGTTAGAAGAGTGTGAATTAGATTCCGAGGATGAAAGGGACGTGCCGGAATTACCAAATGAAGATTGCAGTGATGTAGAAGATGTACCATTAGACCACGTCATTGATGGTGAGTGTCAATCAGACTCTGAAATTGATGTTGAAGAGTTAAAGAATATGACGATACAAATGATCTGCCAGTTGATGATGCATTTTCCCATGATGATGTTCCATTGTCAAGGTAGCGGAACTATTTCGGAAAAAATCGGTTCCGTTGGTCGTCTCAACCTCCAGTTACCTGATCAAGGATTTTGCAACACAACATCGTTCAGCAACCTCAAGGATTGAAAAGGAACTTCAGAGATGTTTTGAGCAGTAATACAACATCATCCGATTTATGGCATTTGTTTTTTACTGATGATATGTTAGAAGAAATTGTAAAGCATACTAACGAAAAAATTAGAAAGATAAGAACTAACTATCAAAACCAGACATGTGTTCAAGACCTTGACGTAATTGAGCTGAAGGCTTTTATCGGTATGTTGTACTATACCTCAATTTTCGAAGAGAACCACACACATTACACATGTTGGTACAGCACAGATGGTACAGGAAGAGAGATTTATCGTTGTATAATGAGCAAGAACAGGTTCGAAACATTGCTGAATTGCCTTCATTTTGATGATGCGAGCACCAGAGATGAACGCCGTAGCACTGATAAAGCTGCACCTATATCTCATCTTTTTGAAAAGCTGATACAAAACTGCAAAGAAGTTTGTTCAATTGGCAGTTACGCTTGTATTGACGAGATGTTAGTGGCTTTCCGTGGGAGGTGCAGCTTCAAAATGTACATGCCAAAAAAACCCAACAAATATGGATTAAAATTTATGTGCATGACTATGATGACGATAAGATTATGTGATACCTTGTGGATGCCTACATATACTTGGGAAAAGACTCAGATAGCCAAGGCTTGCCCATTGAATACCAAAGGCTGAACAAACCCACTCAAGCGATTTTGCGATTGGTTGCGTCGATTGAAGGAACCCACAGAAATGTAACGACTGATAACTGGTTCACTTCGGTGGAGCTAATGAACATCCTAAAGCAAAAACAGCTGACACTTATGGGTACCCTTAAAAAAATAAAAGGGAAGTACCTCCTCAATTTCTGCCTAGCCGTCATCGGGACGTTGGCTCTTCGATTTTTGGATTCACGTCAGATGCAACATTGCTATCTTTTGTACCAAAGCAAAAAAATTCCGTGCTTGTTCTTTCCAGCATACATCACACAACAACCATCGATCCACAAAAGCAAAAGCCAGAAATGATTATTTTTTATAATAGCATCAAAGGTGGCGTCGATACATTAGATCAGAAATGTGCCATTCACTCAACTTCTCGACGCACACAGCGCTGGCCAATGGCGGTCTTCTAGAGAATGCTGGATGTTTCTGCAGCAAACGCGTACATCATCAGCAGCATGAACCAATCTCAGAGAAAGGTGCCCAGACTGAATTTCATGAACCAACTGGCTGAAGACCTTATTACACCCCATTTACGACGTCGAGCGAATTAGTTTGGATTGCAAAGGGAACTTCAGAAAGCTATTCGCCGGGTTCTCAAAATAGATGAAGAACCCAGAACATCTTCGGCAGTCAGCTCTGACAAATTAGAAACACGCAAAACTTGTTCAACGTGTGACCCAAAGAAAAAACGTAAAACATTCCATTTGTGTTTTTAGTGCAAAAATCCAATTTGCGTTGAGTGTTCTCAAAAAATGTGTGTACGCTGCCGCGAGAAATTGTGAATGTTAGGGTGTTGTAATTTTGTAATGATTGTAATTTAATTGTGCCAATGATAGTTTTATATAAGAGGTTATATATTTAAAGTTACTAAAATATTTAAAAACTAAGAAGTGTCATTGATTGTTATTGATTATAACTCAGCTTAATAGGAAAACCTATAATTTGTTAAAATATTCGTTCGTCAATATTTATTAATAGTAATAAGAAGTAAGAATTATTAATTTGAAGAGTTTATTGAAACAAATTGAAATAAAAACGACCGAATTTTTTTTTGTAGTTTCGATTTTTGCCAATTTATGATTTTTTCACCTTTATAATAGTACTTATATGCAAACGGTCACCATGACCGACGTTAGGTGGAAGTGTTACTAGAATACACGTTAGGTGGCTAAGGGTTAAATTAGCACATATGCAAAATAAACGAAAATTAAAAAAAAATGTACTCAATTAACAATACAATCTAAATAAACAATTATTTATTATGACAATTTTCGCGCGTTTACATCAACTGCGCATGCGCGACTCTACAGTTTCCCGCGCATGCGCGGATACAGAGTAGTGCACATTTTTTGTTTGGAATAGCTTCTCTATTACGTATAATATAGTACATATAACTCAATGCTTGCACTACTGTATTGCGGTCTCAGGGGTATATAGAACTAGTATTACTACAGGCTCATCTTAGCAGGTGGCACGTTCCAGCCTGCAGATATTAAAATTTCAAAATAAAAAAATCTCATTTTATAGATCTCAATTAGCCCTTTCGACCTACGTTAATTAATTTATAAGCCCGTTTTTCGTTTTCCCAGGAAAAACAGAAATATAATTTTCAATTTTCCTCTACTTAAAATAGCCATATCTCTTTGAAAAATTATTATTTTTTACTCTACCAAGCGTGAAAAAATTGCCCTTGCGCTAATTTAATTTGCCCGCGTGCTAATTCTTAAAAATATTCAAGATAAACTTCCAAGCCAAGAGGAAGCAGCTAACTATTTTAATAGGTGTTATCGACTAGTCACGGAATCATGGAGATTTCATCTTTCTGCTGATTTGCTCCAAAATTATATAGTATCTAAGTGTTGATTGGGTCTGTTTAAGCATACATACATTTTTTAAAAAAAGAAAGAAATGTAAATATTTATTAATAAAATAGCTATGTTTTTTGATTTATTTCTTTGTTTTCATTCTTGAAAATTTTAATTATAAATTTACACATACACATTAAACTACCAAAGGCACATAGTAATGAATCCAATAGTACTGAAAAACTTCCCGAAACAGTAATATATAATAACTTTTAAAGTCCTTCCGTGCGTGTAGCATCAGCTCAGCGCAGCAGTGTAGATCTGCAGTTGATGATGTAAGTTTCACCTTTATTCTGTTGCACATGCGCAATGAGCAAATAATTGGCTTGAAAATGCCACGAAGGTTTTTTATTGTTTACAATAATAATTATTGAATATTTTTAAGAATTAGCACGCGGGCAACTTAAATAAGCGCAAGGGCAATTTTTTCACGCTTGGTAGAGTAAAAAATAATCATTTTTCAAAGAGATATGGCTATTTTAAGTAGAGGAAAATTGAAAATTATATTTCTATTTTTCCTGGGAAAACGAAAAACGGGCTTATAAATTAATTAACGTAGGTCGAAAGGGCTAATTGAGATCTATAAAATGAGATTTTTTTATTTTGAAATTTTAATATCTGCAGGCTGGAACGTGCCCGGTCATCTTAGCTCCTAAACGTGCAACGCCTGTAGCTTTCTTTGTTTGAAGTCTTAAGAATTAAGGTTGCAACAGAACACGGAGATTTTTAGCACTCCCTGCCCCGCCGTTACCACGATGGCGATTTTAGCTAGGAATAGCTAGGCTGCCAAGTACTGGGGCTGTTTTTTGAACAATGTATATTGGCAGAGCTGCCGCTGAAACCGCAGTTTATTTTTATTATGACTTTGCTGTTATCAGAAAAATGCTGCTTGTTTCCTTTTGTTCCTTTACGGCACCCATGTGACGTAACAGGGTAGTATACATTCTAACATCGCCACTTCATGGTTAATGTTTTTTAAAGTTGTAGCCTATATACGCCCCACTAATGGGCACAGGCATCCATTCATTTCTGAGAGGGTTTTAGGGTAAGGAATAATTCGCCACGTTGCCCCAATGCGTGTCTTTGAAATATTTTTTTAGCACCTCGTAAAGCAGCACTTAAAATAATTGTGATTAACAATTTCATTGGTGCCGGCGGGGATCGAACCCGGTTTGCTCGTGTACTGTGAAATTTACAGCGAATGCTAACCATCTAAGCTACATTGACTCTCCACGGTTAACCATTAGCATATTGCATCTTCGCATTGTGTCTGTGAGTTCAATTTACGAAATTGAGGATATTCAAAAACTGATAATATTGATTTAGTACTTAAAGTATTTTTGTGGATTGAATCAAAATAGTCGTGTACCTACGTATATCCTATACCTTTAAATGAGCAATTCTAAAATAATATATATATATATATATATAAAACCGGAATCTCGGAAACGGCTCATAAAATTTTGTGTGCAGGGAGTTTCGGGGGGCAATAAATCGATCTAGCTAGGACTTATTTTTATAAAATGTCTTTTTGTCCGTGTTTTAGGCAATAAAAAACTGCTACAATATCGTTAGTTTTGACAGTTTATTGATAATTGCAGATAGCTTATTTGGTATATTGGGCGGTCACAAAATCGTAATACCATGGTTCGAGACCAGACCGACCGACCGCCTTTTTTTTAATTTTTTTTTCAAGTTCCTTTCTTTTTTGAGAAAATGAATTTTTACGAGCCCTTTTTTTAGTAGATTTTTTATTCAAATAACCAGTTCAATTTTTTCTATTATGTCAATAAGATAAAAAAAAATATTATTCATCAGTATGTAATTTGTATCTAAATGTAATTTAAAAAAAAAAACCGAGTCATCCGGGTACTTTTAATCATGAGACCAGCGCAGTGGTTGTTAAACAGTTTTGACTCGTACAAAATTAAGTATGGGCATAGGCAGCTATATAAAGGGGACGGTAAATAATTTTTATTTCTTAAGTTTTATTCAGTATGGATGGTGGTAAAATAAAATATTTTTATTACATTATTTCAATCAACTCATGTAAAAATGCGAAACTTATTGTCATTCGGAATCGTAATCGCATCGTTTTTGTTTTCTGTTGTGTTAAAATCCTGAAATAAACACGTTAATAAACAGTACCTAGCAATCTAACTTCTTACAATCATTTAATGAACAGCATCTCATCAACTTATGGAATTAAAAATGAATATTATAGTTTAAACAATATCAACACATGTATTTATAATTGAAAAATATAAAACAAATGCCAATTGATTTATTAAAAATCGACCTTGTGTTCGTGTTTATGTTTTATCCCATTCTTGCTAAGTTTGACCTTAACTTTAACCTTGACCTCTAATCTCTTCATCAGCTCAGAAAGCTCCGGGTCTTCCTCCGAAGAAGAGGAGTCAGATTCATCTTCTTTATCTGATTCTTCGCTTCCTGGTTGTTCCGTCGTTGGGGCACTAGTTGAAGTAGTCGTATTTGGTGCCGCAGTTGTTGTGGTAGTCGTATTTGGTGCCGCAGTTGTTGTGGTGGTCGTATTTGGTGCTGCAGTTGTCGTGGTGGTCGTATTTGGTGCCGCAGTTGTTGTGGTGGTCGTATTTGGTGCCGCAGTTGTTGTGGTGGTCGTATTTGGTGCCGCAGTTGTTGTGGTGTCGTATTTGGTGCCGCTGTTGTTGTGGTGGTCGTATTTGGTGCCGCAGTCGTGGTAGTCGATGTCGTTGTCGTATTGGTCGTGGTAGATTCCGTAGTGGTACTAGTAGTTACGTCTTCCTCCTCCTCTAGTCCATCAAAATTTATTCCGGTGACTTCATAGAACCAACTATGGAACGGCCCAGGACGGATGAAACCTGTAAGTTCATTCGTGTTGTATACACACCACTATTTGAATCATAATCCCTATATTAAAATATCTATTTAAATAGACAATAACAATATTCTCTTGGTAGCTCAGAGGTGAAACAATTAATAGTAATTCTTATTGAAAGTTTTTCAAGACTTGTTTGACAGTCTTTAAAATAAAATAAAGAATAAGCGCACAAGTTGTACAAATTAATTACAAAATGTATTGTTGCGCGCCTAAGTTGACGTCAGGTACCTCGCACTAGCGCCATCTAGTGTCGGGGACTAGAGCGAGGAGGGCTTCCTAGAAAATGTCAATCTTGACTTTCGACCAACAGCGCCATCTAGTATCGAACAGAAGAATTAAGCTTTCGAGAAGCCCCACACTCGAACTTTCTGCGTCTGGTCGGTCGGCGCCTGTATCTACCGGAATATTCTGGATGTTTCGGTGTAAAAAGTGTATTTAAAGCCGCTGCATGCCGCGATCGGGGCAGTATTGAATTTGGCAAGACAAGCGAAGCTTCGGAGCAAAATAAAGTGAATCATTGTGATTAATTATTAGTGTTTTTTAAGTTTTAATTGGTGTTCGGTAATAAAAGTGTAAATTTGATAATTCAATCGGCAGTTTTTATTGTCACGAACCTCAAGCTCGTAACAGTATTTAAGAAACGTTATGTGCTATGTAAATAATATAAATAATCTCAGCACTTGTGCTTGTGAGACTTTATTTTTTTTACAGTACAAGCTGCAGAGCTTATTCTGCTTGCTAGTTAAGATTTATAAGCCAAAAAAAAAACAATGGAATTGACGAGGTTCAATTATTTCTCGTTTAAATGTAAATTGTTAACGCTAACCAATGTATTTACCCTTATGTGTTGTATAATAACAGAGTGCACACCTTATAATCATTTAGTAATCATATGTGTTTGAAACTGGCCTACTGGAAGAAATTTCATTGTGAGATAAGTAGAGCCTTTGTACAAACTTTTTATCATGATATGTCCTCTCCCTAACTTGTGTATACATAAATTGTGAAATAAATAAATAAATAAATATTAATTTTCACGTAGCGTTATTTACTTCATCAAAATTAAACGATTGCCGTTTAAGTTTAAAAAGCAATTAAGTATCATCAACAAATAATACCATATCGTGGTTACCTACAAGGTAAAGCAAGTCATTAGTATAGACTAAGAACAGGAATTGTCCAGCAGAAATTCAATTCCTGTTCTTAGTCTGAGTTTTCACCACTGATAACTACTTTCTTCGTTCTATTATATAAATTATAAATATGTGAATGATAAGTAAAAAATAAGTAATAATTTTAAGCGTTCTTAACACCATAATGATGTATCTTCCTGATTAAGTCTCATGGTAAACACAGTTGAAGGCTTTGAAACGTTCACAATATATACCCAAAGCATCTTCTGCCTTCTCCCAGTCACATCAAATATGATTGATTAGCTCAACATTGGTGTCAGTTCAACATTCGACTGGCCCCTTGTGAACCCAAATTGATTTTATTATTATCATCATCATCATCATCATTAAAGCCCTTCACAAGTCCACTGCTGAACATAGGCTTCCCCCAAGGAATGCCACAAAGCACGGTCCTGAGCCACCTGCATCCATCGACGTCCCGCATGTCCTACCAGGTCATCACTCCATTTAGTGGGGGGGTCGCTCTACACTATGCCTACGGGTGCTCTCGGGTGGCAGCCTAGTCACTCGAGAACCTTTCTTCCGCTACGGTTGTCGGTTCTTCGAGATATATGGCCGGTCCATTGCCACTTTAGCTTACTAATCCGTTGGGCTATGTCGGTCACTCTGGTTCCACTAAATTGATTTTATACAGCAATTTATTTATGTTAAAAAAAACTAATATTTGGGTTAAACCATGAGAATTCCCAGACATTTCCCGCCCTTTCAATATCCACAGGGTAAAGCAGGTAAGGGGTTCTCCTATGTCACAACTTAACACCGTAATATTAACAGCGATTATTTTAACTTTGATATATCACAGAATACCAGCGTATGATAACACTTCAATGCGGTTGTGTTTCGTATGGAGAACCAGAGACACTTTTTACTGGAAAAGAGGCATCTTAAAGATGGCATGTTTGTAATTTTCTTTGTTAGACATTTTCTCAAAGATGGCATTTAGTCCTTCGGGGTGACAACGCATCAGCATTTTGATTCTTAATCGAGGATAGATTTAGATGTCTATGGGCCACAGCATCCACTTACCATCAGGTAGACTGTTTGCACATTTGCCATTCTTATTCTATAAAAAAAATTACTTGGACATAAGCGGTTAATTACTTTTAACAAACGAACACGCAGTACACATGATGGTAAGTGTATGCTGAGGCACATATACACCTACAATCTACGTCTTGTACCTATGTCTATCCTCAATTAGGAATTAAAATTCTAATCCGTTGCCATCGCTAAGGACTGCTTCGTTACCAGTAAAAATGGTCTTCGGCTTCGGCTCTCTAGATTCACCATACGAAACACATAAGCAATATACTAGACATGTAACGAGTACTCGGTTTGGATTCGGTACTCGGCGGATTCGGCCGTTTTTTAGGGTTCGGCCGAGCACCGAATATTAAGGGCCGATTACCGAGTACTCGGCCTTAATTATATTGCAGGGAAAAATAAAGACAAAAAGCCAGTTATTATCATTATTATTATATTAGACACATTAAAACATCAGGAACATGACAAACAGCAGAAATATTGAAAACGTAAATAAGAATCTATAATAGAAATTATGATCTTACTAATATTTAAAATTTAAGAGAGGAAGATTGTGATGCAAAAACACTAGCTTTTCGGCCCTATTTGGGTCTAGTTTGCTCCTTTTTGCTTCATATATTAAGCCCGCCTCTGAAAAAAGCCGTTCACTGTAAACTGAACTGGCTGGAGTTGATAAGTATTGAGCCGCAATATTTCCCAAGATGGGGTAATGAACTTTATTAGAAACCCACCATTTATATGGATTTGCATCTCTTGCGGCCCTTGGTACGCTTAAGTAATGATCTAACTCTGCTGCAGCGGAATTCTTAGGATCATTAGGCTGGTAACTAGTTGATGCGTCAGCGGCTTCTTCAAAACATTCCCAGAATAGATTATGAGCTTCAGAAGCAGTATGATCTCTATCTATCATTCTAGCTTTTTTTCTGCTGGCTCTGCATCAATGACAAGTTCATCATCTTCTGTGTCTAGCGATATTTTTAGAGCTTCTCTTAGGACAGCCTTGCGAGCTTGATCTGCTTGATAAGCATTATAAAAGTTGATTTTGTAGCGTGGGTCTAAAAAGGTCGAAAGGAGATAAGTTCTGTTTTCAAACAAATATTCAAGATTGAAACGCGTGACTTTGTTCATATTGCTTACGAGGGCATTTCTAAAATCATCAACTTGATACGTTTTCTCCGACAGTTCTTCTTTTCGTAAATATCTCATCAATGTGACAGCATGCGGAATTACATCGGAAATAGGAGAATACGTGCTACTAGTTATTTTCGTCACTTCTTCAAAAGGTTTCAATAATATGATTAACTGCAACACTATTTCCCATTGATCGCTTGACAAGTTTTCAAAATTCAAATTTCGAGATTCTGCGAAGTAGACAGAAATAGCTCGTCTCTGTTCAATAATACGTTCCAGTAAATAATAAGTTGAGTTCCATCTGGTAATAACATCTTGATGTAGTTTCTTTTTTGGAAGGCCAAGTTCCTCTTGAATCTCGTGAAGTTTGTTATAACCACTGTGATTGAAATGTGTCACGATTCGTCGAGCAGCAGAAATTGTTTCTTTAACAGAAGTATTAGCGTCTATAGCGTCATTAATTACTAATTGCAGAGTGTGAATAAAACAACGAAAAGAAGGGAAGTTTGCGTCTTTCACACCTTTTGTTATATTTGCTGCATTGTCATGTACAACGGCACGTACTTTCGTAGCTGGTATGTTCCAATCGGAAACCGAATCGAGTAAGCTTTTCTTTATGTTTTCTGCCGTATGACTCTCTGGGAAAACCTTTATATCTAGCACTGCATGACCAAGCATATAACTTTCTTCTAACCAATGGGCAGTACAACTGAGGAAACAAGTTTTGTTAGTTTGACATGTCCACATGTCTGTAGTAAAAGAGATGTGGTTGACCGGTGCCAATCTTGACTTGATATTGTTCACCACTTTGTTATATATATCTGGAATTACATTTTCGCTAAAATATATTCGGCTTGGTATCTCGTACTGCGGTAAAATATTATTGACAAACCGGCGAAACCCTACATGACTTTCCACGATAGAAAATGGCTCGTTATCCACTGCGATCATTTCACCGATTAAATAATGGCACCTCTTTGCTCTAGAATCATTAATATCCCACAACTTTTTCTTTTCTAACATATCTTCTAAAGACGGCTGCTTCAAAAAACCACTCACTTGTGATTGACTGGACTGAGAGACAAATTCTTTGCTACTTGAAGCAATACTTGTAGTACCAAAAACCTCTTCATACTCCGACTTATGTTTAGTCTGCAAATGTCTTTTCATGGACGAAGTAGTCGCAGTTTTTCCCATACCTCCACGTGATAGTTGAACTCCACACAAATTACACTTAGATTTGTTTTTATCAACCTCCACAAAGTATTTCCAAACACCCGACCTTTTCGCACTACTTGACATTTTGTTATATTATAAATTACGCGTTGTCTACATAAAATAATTAATTAAACACACAAGCATAACCTCTTCTCCGTGAATACACGTACAAAAGTGACAAATGAGTTGATAAATTATGAAGTTACGGTTTTCCCCGCTCAAAGGGAATTCCCCGTGCACAGATTCGTCGCGCTGCAATATCGCGCTGTTACTCTGTCTCTGTGTAAGGGAAATAACCGCGCGCCACCCGCTACCGCGTTTTTTAAAGCCGAGCATTCGGCCGAGTATTCGGCCGAGTACTCGGCCCAATCTAGGCCGAGTACTCGGTGGCCGAGTACTCGGCGAATCACTACTCGTTACATGTCTACAATATACTGCGTTTTACTCTGGTCTACTGTGAGAGCGTGGTCCTTCACCATCAGAGCCGACCGATGAGTGCCGCTGCCATATTATAATTATTATGATATTTTTTAATACTTTCAGCTAACAAAACTAAATGTGAAGCAATGGTAAAAATAAATTACCGCCAGGTAATCCAGAATGGCAGCCCCACGTGCCACCAGCTACGAAAGAGCTTACTCCAACCAAGATGGGATCGCCGTCTGCGTCCCAAGTGACTAAGGGACCACCGCTGTCACCCTGTTAAGACAAAAACAGATGTTTGATACTTCGGAATTATTACTTTAGTTTTATTGCAGTGTTTTATTTATTATTCGTTTATGTACACTTTATTGTTTATAACCTAAGAGTAACACGGGCCAATGGTTTCGCCCGGCCTGGATTGCTTCCTGGCGGCTCAGGCCGAGTCTTCTCCCATTTAAGACGTTTCCCCTAGAGAACGACCTTGAGCGTTCAGTCCTATACAATCCACGCGCTCTCGCTAGAATATATCGCGTAAAAATACGCCCGAATTGTTGAATTATTTCAATTAAAAAAGAAAAGCGAACTTAAGAAATTAAATAAAACGTGAAGAATATAGATTTTTAAATTATCTATCCGTTAGTGTAATCCTCAAATGATTAGAGCGTTGCATTTAGCAACAGATGCATGTAATCAATAATTTTAGTCATTTTTTAAAAAAATGTTTTTAAATGTATTTATAACACATAAAGACAAATCGGATCGATAGGATATCGAAAATTAAAAATGTGCTTTTAGATGTAGCTTATTTTTCATAAATAATGAGATAATAGTCTCTGAAAAACGCACTTTTGCAAGGTTTTGGTCGGGGTACCGCCCCTTAGTTAGGAGCGCATCTTAGCGGCTACTCGCCGCCTGCGCTCCCTTTTCCCCAAGGTGGTCGCTTCCGATACGACAGAAAGGCCCTCCAGGCTAAAGGCAGCCCCAGGTGATGTTTAGTGGGTAGCCACTTAGGTTTTCATAGTGAGTTCCACATAACCAAGCAGCTGGCTGCGTGGTATGCTAAGAGCATTCACCACCTCCTCCCCCACTTCCCCTTACTTTGCTGGGCGCAACAAAAACGGGCCACCGGGAGCAGCTGACCGGAGGGGAGTAGAATTTCACAGGTTTAAATTTTTTTGGCGCGGAACCCTAATTCTTTTTCTAAAATAAAAGTTACTCTTTACTCCTACGTTAAACCTACGCTACTCCTTATAACATTAGCCATCTGCCAGTGACAGTCCTGTCGAAATCGGTCCAGACGTTTTGGTGATTCACCGGAGCCAACAGATAGACCAAGATACAACAGACAACATTTTTAAAAACTGTTCTTTTGTAAGTACCGTAGGTACTTTTATATGCTATGATATTACAAACAGACACTTCATTTTTATTTATTCGTATAGATGTCTTTAAAATACCTTCGCTAAGCATTACAGTTCGAAAACAATAACGTTTTAATTATTATTATACTAGCTTGCAAGGCAGACGTTGTTCCGCCCTTTTCGACTAACATTTGTCAAGTCCTGTTAAAAATCCTTAAATTCGCAAAAAAAATTGTGGGTCACTCACGGGCAATAAAAACTATCCTATCTCTCAAGTTGGATCAAACTGAACACGGTGTGCAAATTTGATTAAAATCTGTTAAGTAGTTTTGGAGTCCATCGCGGACAAACAACGTGACACGTAATTTATAGTACCCGGATGAACGGAAAAAATCATGAGTGCAATTAATTTAATTTAAATTTTCGTATTTTTAAAAAAAATACTAAAAAAAAGGGCTCGAAATAATAGATTTTCTCACAAAAGAAGGGAACTTGAAAAAAAAAGGAAATAAATGTCGGACTGAAGACAGGACGCGAACTAAGGCACTACGATTTTTCGACCGCTCGATATCCATTTGAGCTATTACGACCATTATATAATATATATACAAGAATTGCTCGTTTAAAGGTATAGGATATATTAAGATGTTTATTTGACAAACCTGGCAAATAGACTGTGAAGTGACGTTAAAGAATTGAGCGCAAATTGTTGTACTGGTGATGATGGAGCCAAAGACCGTCGCACAAGACGGGTTCGATACACCGCGCAGGTACACCCAGTTCAACACTTCGGGACTGCTGCCTGAAATTAAATGAAATTAAAATTAAATGAAATGAGAATTTCATCAACGCAAGAAAAAAGAATTCGTTCGTTAAATTTCTTTTTTTATACCTACTAAATCTACTCAGTTTCGAAACGTGGTTCCTCTGACTGGAAAAAAAACGGCAAAAGAATCTCCTGCGGAGTTTCTTATCGCGTATTCTCCATTGATTTATATGTTACACTAGATAAGTAATTTCCGCGCCAAAGCGTTGTCACTTCACATAAGGCCACAGCCTTATACTCAGCGAACGTCGGTTCAGTGTTCAAGGTGACGCCGTCCGAGTTAAGCCGAACGATTCACAACAAAAAATGGGTAAATGCGTAGTGAAAGAATGCGTTTCAAGGTCACAAAAACATAATAAATCAAGCGGAATCACTTTCCATACGTAAGTTTTAATTTATATATTCATATTAACGTTTAAAACACTAAAAAATTAAATAAAATATCGAATATTGCAATTTAGGTTCAATGTTGCCACTTTTCCGCCTTTGTGATTTTTCCACATTAATGGGAGACTGTATAATTTATGGAATAAGTTAATTTTGTTTTAAAATAAACAAGTAAAATTGATTGCTTAAAAATAAAAACTATGTTTCAACCTTTATACAAAATAATTATTCTTATTTTATTTTATTCATGAATTATCTATTAAATATATTTTACTACCTTATATCTTATATTAATAATTTTATATTAATATAAAATTTATATATATTTATATTTATATATATAATATTAATATATAATAAAAAATATATTAATTAAAATTTCATATAAATTTTATATTAATTATATTTCACTACCTATTTTATATTACTTGATTTATTAGTACAGTAAAAAATATTTATAAAAATATGTTTTATTTCATCATTATGTACTTCTAACTCATCTGATAAGCTTTGTATTCTTTTTTTCTAAGGGGACGCAATAAAGATTTTAAAATAAAATATACTTTCTTAATATAAAAACAATTAACTGAAGCTTAAAAAAAACTCATTTTTATTGCGTATTTTAGGTAAAATTTTATATAGTAAGCCACACCAACCCGCCATTGCATGTTTGTGTGTCTATCTTTATCTAATTTTAGCGACGATATTGTTTACGTAACTTGTGTAAGTGAGATAGATATATGTTTATTTAAAATTGTTATTAGTTTCAAAGCTACGTCGTCGCGTTTGGATAGTGGTTACACATTTTTCGACGCGCGGTAATGTGGTTTGCTCCTCTAGTTGTATAACTCAATGGTATTCTCTTTTTTAAGTTAATGTTACATAGTAGCGTAGGTATATACATTATAAAATGACATAACATTATTCGATCAAAACCTGTGTTAAAATTTATTATGTAGCTTTAAAAAAATTGCTTTTCTTATACATATTAAACAAGACGTTTCTTTGTAATAAGACTAATTTAGTTAAAAAGAACCTTAATTCATTATGTTAAAAAACAGTGTAAAAAACTTACTTAAAATGAACAAAAAATATTTTATGCTACCTTTTTAAAAGCTACGGGAAAGTGTCTTTCTTGATTCTTGTGAAGGGAGTGGAGCTGGAGTTCTCAACCCCTTCTCTATTTCGAATACTCCCCGGCCAATATTCATGCAACCTCGCCATCCAAGCCCTACTCAGGAATGCAGTTTTCTTTTATGTCAGAGCCCCGATTCAAACGGAAGACTCATATAAGACCATAGACCGTACGACCCCCAAATATTTATAAGCGGTAGTAGCCTCCAAGTATATAATAATATGACATGTTGTATCCAAATTCTATAAGATTCGGTAGCCCCTAACAAATCTCTAAGTTTAAGCAGTGAAGTAAAGATTAAATTCGACTAAAATTGTCCGATTAGTTTCTTTCCATTTCCTGATAATGTGTTAATTTTAAATAAGTATTTTGCAGTATCTTTTTTAAATAATAAATTAATATTATTACCTCCTGTCCAGGTTCTGCCATGCCCGCTAGCATAAAGAATTTGGCCCATGTAGTCATTGTACGCTTCGGAAGCGGGCTGTATTCGGATCGCGCGCAAATTATCTAGAAATAAAGTAAAATGCGTAAAGTTATTATTAGTTACAATTTGGCTAAATACTTTTAAATGGATTAGTCAGTAAGGCTCCTTAAGGAATCCATCTGGATAGGTGTAGGCAGTACATCTATTTTTCATTGAACGTTCCTAACGTAGTTTCTCACACGGTGACATAATAAATCGTAGTAAAGTCTCTTAAAAACGATCACACACAGTCCACTTGCTCTCCATACACTTCAATTATTTGGTCCATCGTCGCCGGATTACCACCAGATGATAGTTATAGAAGGCATGCTTATTATTAATTTGGCGCAAAGAATGGTATAAAACTAGAAATAAGTTTGGCCATATTAATAAAGAATTAGAAATTGATGAACCAGGAGACCTGTACAATTAATTGCAATGGATAGAGTCGTATAAACTCTTTCGAGAATATTTTTTTCCGTTTAATTTAATTTAATTTTGTTATGGCCGAGTTTTCTGAAGTAAAGTTATTTCTATAGGTTTAAAAACTGATTCTGGTTATGCGCTTAACGGGAACCACAGGGGTTTTGTTACATGTTGTATATGGTACTGATATATGGGAGAGGATTTTAACCATGTTACTATTTGGCGTGAAGTATCAAGCTTTGTATTAAAAAAATACAAGCCAAAATGAATTGCCCCAGTTGGACTATATATGTAACATTTTAAAAGTTCCTTACCAGAATAGACTACCGGGCGTTGAAGACGCACGATAGAAATGTCGTTGGGCTGCACCACGCTAGGAGCTAGGTCGTTGTAGGTGGGATGGTTGTACCATTCCGTAGTCTCAAAAATGTACTCAGGTTTAGTCAGATCTACGACACCGGCGCGGACAACCAGGGTTATGGTTCTGCAAAAGAGAGCTTATTTGTAAAATCTGCAGTCTATAGGTCATCCATCACTATTATTTTCATTATTATATCACTATAATTTCTTTTATCCGACACTATTCAGATGATATACCGGCAAAACTTAAAAACCGCAAGGCTCCGGGCGAGAGAGTGGAGCTTCTGAAAGCGGGTGGCACACTGGTACTTAAAGTCCTGTAGAATTACAGACATATTTCCCTTCTGAGCCGAGTCTACGTGCTGTTTTCGAGAGCCATTCCGAATTGTCTTGCACGCAGATTCGACGACTTCCAGCCTCCCGGACAAGCCAATTTCCGAAAAGGCTTTTGTACCAAATACCACATACATACCCTTCGGCAAATTGGACAGTGCAGACCGAAGAGTACCTACAGTCTGCCACATTGTCTTGCATATATAGACTAAGAGAAAGCCTCTGATTCCGTCGAAATTTGGGCGGTGCGATGCTGCAGTCCCTTCAGCGGTGCTAAGATGACTGTTGGTATATCGAAGTGCTGAAGTGTTCGTACAGAAGAGCTACGATGGCTATCTGAGTACAGAACCAGTGTACGAAACCTATCCAACTGCAGAGAGGTGTAAGATAGAGTGACGTAATATCCCCAAAACTCTTCACCGCTGCATTAGAAGATGTTATCAAGCTACTGGACTGGAAAGGATACGGTATTAACATCAATGGCAAGTACATCACTGACATTCGATTTGCCGACGATATAGTCCTTATGGCAGAATCGCTGGAGACCTAAGCACTATGCTCACTTACCTCAAACGGATAGGTCTTAAGATGGACATGGACAAAACAAAAGTAATGTCATGTGTAACGTCTATGTCACACCTATGCCGGTAGTTGTTGGCAGCACTAAGTTCGAAATTGTTGAAGATTATTTTACCGGGGCAAATAGTCCGACTAGACAAGTCCAACCTCGACCGAGAGGTCAATCGACGGATTAAACTCGGCTGCGCAGCGTTCGGGAGATTGCAAAACATCAACTCGTCAGGCTTACCACAAAACTAGATTGTACAACCAATGCGAGTTGCCAGTGATGACCTATGGATCTGAGACGTGGTCCTTCACTGCTGGCTGACTGGCCGTATGAGGAATCCAAAAGTTGCTCAGCAAGATATGGAGAGGGCTATGCTAGGAGTCTCTGCGTAGACTTAAAACGAAGAAATCCGCAGTAGAACCAAAGTAACTGGCGTAGCCCAACGGATTAGTAAGTTAAAGTGGCAATGATCCGGCCATATAGCTCGAAGAACCTACAACCGATAGGGAAGAAGGGTTCTCGAGTGGCAGCCTCGTACCGGTAGGCGAACTGTAGGGCGTCTCCCCCACTAGATGGAGTGACGACCTGGTAAGACATGCAGGAAGTCGATGGATGCAGATGGCTCCAGACCGTGCTTTGTGGGATTTCTGAGGGGAGGCCTATGTTCAGCAGTGGACTTTTGAAGGGTACAGACCTTCACAAGTCCACTGCTGAACATATGATGAATGATGATATAATTTTATTCTTATGTAAGCTTTGAGTTTTGACGTGCCTCGGATTCATAAAGAAATGATGCTTTTTTTTTCTGGTACACATAGTAAGGGATTAGATTTTTTTATCTGCGTCAGTCTCATCAGACCACAATAACTTACATTTCAAGGGAAGATTGATAAGACTTTTCTTGGACTAATGTTTTTACTATTTAGGACGTTGCTACCATTAAATATCAGGTATCCATCTGCTTGTTGCAAAATGCTTGTGTTAGGTGTCCATGCACTGCTCTCGTTACTGCACAGTTTTTCTAAAATGTAAATTCAAACGCTAGTGACGTCATTATACCGCTTTGCTAACGCAACCTCATGGTGAAATGATAAAACACTCATGTTTACGTTGTCAAAATTAAAAAAAAAATGTCATTGCATATTATTACAGGTTATATATGTTTTGGTATGACACATGGTGATCCAAATAGGTAGATATAGAAAATACAAAAGTAAAGAACGATAGCGATTGGCTAACAGCCTCAACGAATGACGTCACAACCAATTACAAGTCGTTTTTTCATTCAAAATTTAACAATTTTTTATTAATTACTAAAAAACTAGAATTGTTATTAAAAATATTTAAATACACTTCAAATTAATTATTCTTTCTTTTATATTTAAATTTGTGGCAAAAAATAACTTCAAGTTCTCTATAGTGAGATGTTTCATTATTACTGACCCAGCGGTACAATGTGCTGCAGTAATCATCCAGTTGCGGTGCACGATGGAGCCTCCGCAAGCACTGACCAAGCCCTGCGGGTAGACCATGCGGAGTGCCGCATGGTGCGGATGTTGTCCGGGTGTTGCCTCCCAACCAGACACTATGCGTGATTCGCCTGCTGAAACTGAAAAAAAACGCCAATTTAACGTATGTTTCGTTTTAAAGAAAACCATTGATTACATATTTTTTACAATATAAATAATGTAAATTGTTTCTAAAATCATTATTAAAGCTATAGTCTTATGTAACAAATTCCAGTATAGCACATGAGTAAAGAAACCGACGGTTACTTTACTCGTTTGCTTATCGTTTCGTTCCTGACTGTTCGTGATCCGAGGCCGATGTAATTACGAAGTAGCGAAAAATTTACGACATAAATATTCCTCCACCTTTCTGAAATCGGTTGAAAAACTAGCGACCGGCCCTGGCTACGCTTGTCATTTATATAGATTTAAGATGATCAAAGTACACTTTATCACCTTTACAATTTCTTAAAAAAAAATTCAAGTTTTTCGAATAAAATATTACTCCTGGCATTGCTTTCTAGCTGTTCGTCAACTATATATTATTATTATATTCGGGTCAGCCATTCCAAAGATGATATCAAACAGACAGTCATACAGACAAAATTATAAAAATAGTTTACATCTTTTAATAGCATGCAAATATTCAATCAGTTCAATAAAAGGCAGTGTGACGTCGTCCAAATTGACAACGATCGTACGAGCAAACGATACGATTTCGTCGCACGACGAGATTAAACACACGAATTTCTTCACACTAATCGTCTTCTGTCCTAATCGAAGCTTGCAAGTCATGGCGCGAGCAAAGGAAAGTGCTTAATAACGATCGTACCATGGGTTTGATCGTACGACCGTGCAGTCAAAGCTACAAAGTCATCGTGCGATTGCAGCAACGCTAGGGACAAGAGATGGCATCGGTGAGTCGAGTTAGAGACGAGTAGAGACCCAACAGATTAAAAACTGTGCATCTCAGTAAACATACATTGTTGAAATGGCACCGTTGCGGTGATGGCCCAGCGGCATGACATCATCGCGCGATGTGCATCGTGCGAGTTATTCGACACCTGTTGAACCATAGCACGATCTTTTTCATCGCACGATATAATCGCATCGTTTACTCGTACGATCGATAGCCAGTTAGGACAACGCCTAAGACTTTAGCCAGCCGCACTTTAATCTACTGTCTGATATTTCAAGTTAGGGTCAGTTCACATAGAGACGCGACGCGAAGATGCTTGAAGAGGTCAGTAGTTTCACACTGCGCAGTACACCCGACGCGAGGCGCATCGTGACGCCGCGAGATGCATCGTAAAGTCGCTGGAAGCGCGATGCCTAATACTAATAATAGAAACAAATCGCCACGACGGCTTCAAGCTGCGTCACGCAGCGCGACGGCGCGGGGCATTTTCGAATTACCTCAATAAAATATGTATCTTTTTGTGTAGTAAATAAAGTTATACATTGTATCACTCTTAAAAATATCGCGCCGTGTCTCGTCGTGTCTCATCTCTTAATTCCTTGCTATTAATATTTATAGCATATCTATTAATATATTATCGTCACTGCGGTGCTAGTGATAGGTTTTGCCAGCAACGCAAATTTCAACAATTCGTTAAGGTTAAAGTTTTAAAGCACCTAATTTTTGAAGTTGGTACCTAATTAGCACCTAAAAAGACCCTAATTTTGGCTATTTCTAAATGCAAATCGTGACTTTGCGTAGCTGGCGGGACACAACTAAAATTAGGAATACAATTTTTTTTAATGAAAATTAATTTGAATTTATTTCCTGCATTCACTCGTCGTTCTATATCCTCCAGGATCCAGGAAATAGAGTAAATGCGGCCCTACACTCTATTGTGAAGTGTCAAAATGTGTCGAAAAAGGCACGTATAGCAATACACAATGCTGTGTTGGTCCCTACTTTAACGTATGGTAGTGAAAGTTGGGTGTAGCAGAAGAAGCACGAGAGTAGAATGAACGCAGTAGAAATGCGGTCGTTAAGGAGTATGTTAGGGCTGAATCTGAATGACAGGGTGAGAAATTGTGTGATAAGAGAAGAGTGTGGTTTGCAAGATGATGTTGTGACCAGGATTAAGAAAGGAATGCTTCGGTGGTTTGGTCATGTGGAACGAATGAATGAGGAAAGTGTGACAAAGAAAATTTATGTTGCAGAAGTGAATAGCAGAGTCGGAAAGGGACGTCCTAGGCGAAACGGGCCAAATTAGGAGTACCCTTAACCGACGATCATGTATGCGTAGGTGTATGGATGTGAAGGAGGCGAGAGAGGTGTGTCAGGATCGTGCCAAATGGAAGTCTGTAGTCTCTGCCTACTCCTCTGGGTGACAGGCGTGTTTATGTTATTATTTATGTAATTGGAATTTGCAAATATTATGTCTATACTCGTAATAATGATTTGTCTTTGTAAAATTGCCAATTCCTATAAGGCGGCGAAAAACATCTTTAAAGTCATAAATTCCATCAAACAGTTGAAAGATACATTGATGGCAATTACTGATTTCTTCGATTAAATTTATATATGTAAATTAAAAATAATAGTGGTAAAATTTTATGTGAAATAGCAATTTCTTACGGGGACTTAAAAAAAAGGTTGAAAAAAATAAGGAACATACCTTCTTTGACTACATTTTCAATGAAGTCTGGCTTTACGAACTCGGCTGAAGCCTGAAAATTCACAAATATATTAAAATAGTTGGATCTAAAGGTTCCAGGACAACGAAGAAGTGGTGGTCTCGAATATTTTTTAAATAAAATAAAATTTTTAGAAGTGAAACTTTTTTGTCTTCGTTGTAGTAGGTACGGTATTTAAAAAAAAACGTTAGGTACGTTTTCTTGTATCGTTTCACCGCCGGGGCTGCATGAGTATAAAATAAAAGAAGATTGATTACATACCTATTAAGTATGTCGTAAAGAAGTTTTACTTCGTACACAATTACAAGCATATTTCCCAGATAAAACTTAATATTGTACCTACTTAAAAATCTAATTACTAAGTTACCGATCATTTAATAAAGCTACTATAGCATTTTAGAGATCGTTGAGTTAATAGCACAAAAAAACGTTATGAATTCTGTCACAGATTTCATAACTCTCAAAAACACTGTGTACTTATATTATTTTGTAAATGTAAATAATTATAAGCTTGTAAGGATACAAAAAATTAAACCCAATTGATATGTTTTCCAACATCTTTCGATAATTCGGTCATATTGCACCGAGCACTTAGTTCACCTGATGGAAAATGATGCTGTAACACATAGATACCTACGTCTATCCTCGATTATGAATTAAAATACAATTGCGTAGTCCCCCTGTGGACTAATATGAAATGGCTCGTAACTAGTAAAAAGGTTCTTCGGTTCTCGCCGCTCACCATACGGAAAACCCGGCAGCATTACGAGTATACTCCTATTATATTACCTATTCCCCATCCGTATCGAAACCATGGTACTTACGCTCGTAGAATAATTCTACGAGTACGCTGTAGCGTGGGTTTATCACGTCAAAATTCATAAACATCATTTTTCAATAATTATCTCTAAACAACTCTTCTATAATAGGATATATTCATTAATTTTTATACGTATGTTTACTGTATAATAAGTAAATTTTTTGTATCCTTGATAAAGAAAAGAAAAATAAAGAAAGAAAAATTGCTAAGAACCCATCTGATAAAAAGAGTTAACTTCAGTCCATGGGCACTGCGAAATAGTCAACGAGGACCTGAGGAAAAGGATGGATCACAGCTTGTAATTTTACCGGATTCACATCCTTAAAGGCTAGCACCCAGTATAAGTGCGTGTTGACGTGGCGGACTTCACATGTCTTCGCATGAAATATTTTTCATATTCCTATTTAGTAAGACATGCAGGTTTCCTGAAGAAACTTTCCTCATGTCTATGTTTAGGTATGGCGGAAAAATATTAGTTATGAGATGAGACCCACTCAAGTTTTGGCTCATTCTAACCTTATATTTTAAATATTTGGAGTTTTTAAAACATTCTTCCCAATACACGTCTTGAAAACTGCATAAAATGTAACAGTGGGAAACACGATAAGAAATACGCTGGGGACAGCAATTTTTAACCACATCGGAAAAAGTGGTAAGTACATAAATTTAAACACGCCTTATTAAGTTTCACAATATAGTTAGGTGTTATATTTTTGAAAGAATGTTTTCAATTGATACTCGCGAATAAAGGATCACTATGAAAGTATCGGTATACTATATTAGTACCTAAAAAGGTAAAAGTCAGCTAAATAGATTAATTAGGTAGGTAAACTTTTTAACTTTTTACGATAAACGTATAAAAAGAAGATACAATCGAATTTATATCTTCTTTCTTTTAGAACTCGGTTAAGGAAAGGAATTTTTTAAAATGAGAAACTATATAATATACCTATTCTTACTACTAACTAGATATATTATATAGGTACATCTCTCGCACAAATTACGTAAGTCCATTTTTAATATACCTACGCGAATAGGCTGTATCAAATTTAATTGTATTTATTTAAAAAATTTAAAAAAAAGGAATCTCACCCAGCTAGAGACTATAGTGATAAGAACGATACCCGTTTTCCACCACATCTTTACCCTTACTGATTTCCTTAAAAATTATATATAGCTATATGTTTGCAAATTTAAGGGGAAATTTTTATCTTATCTTTTTTTTGATTCTGATTGATTGATATTTAGTAGCATTAAAACAAAATCACGGTAATTATATAGATAATAACAAAGCTATCGACAGTAAGGAAGATAGTTATCGGTGGCGTGACTAATTTGCTTTCATAAGATTGGATTAGGAATATTTCAATTTGAATTAGGGCAGCCGCATACGGGACCTTTTTTACCCACGACGACGGAACGGAGAAGGTGTATGCGTTTGGGGTGGGAGTTTGTTTGTGTATTCGTTTCTTTATTTCAAACGAATGTTCCCATTTGTTTCCACAATGGTGAGACCGACTAAGATACGCTTTTCTGTTAAGGGTTTGCGATCATCGACGATGATTTTTAGAAACGTTAAAAGGTGCTAAAGTTTTAACTCGCAAAAGTCAAAATATGTCAAAAAGGCACGTATGGCAATTCACAATGCTGAGTTGGTCCCTAATTTAACGTATGGTAGTGAAAGTTGGGTGTGGCAGAAGAAGCACGAGAGTAGAATGAACGCAGTAGAAATGCGGTCGTTAAGGAGTATGTTAGGGCTGAATCTGAATGACAGGGTGAAAAATTGTATGATAAGAGAAGAATGTGGTTTGAAGATGATGTTGTGACCAGGGTTAAGAAAGGAATGCTTCGGTGGTTTGATCATGTGGGAAGAATGAATGAGGAAAGACTGACCAAATTACGATTTATTGAAAACGGGCCAAATTAGGAGAACCCTTAACCGACGTCCATGTATGCGTAGGTATATGGACGTGAAGGAAGCGAGATAGGTGTGTCAGGATCGTGCCAAATGGAAGTCTGTAGTCTCTGCCTACCCCTCTGGGTGACAGGCGTGAGTGCTTACGTATATGTGTAAATGCGGTTTTCTGTAAAGAGATTGTGATTAATCGGCGATGTTTAGATAGGTGTGGTGGTGTTATCTCTCCAGGTGGCGGCGCTGCAATAAAAATTTTTTGCTGTGGGTCTGAATAACATCGTGGGGAACTCTGGGCTCTTTTGATGGTGTTTGGTGAGAAGCTTCTGTGTATGAACTGCTGAGCAGTGGTGCAGAATGGGGGGGTGCCGGGGGGCCATGGCCTCTGGCGGCCTACGAAAGGGGGCGACGGCAAGCGCCAAGATTTTTTCAATTTCAATACAAAGCGAAACCGCAAGGGTGCGTAAAAGATGAATTCGAATACTGCCAAAGTGCTAGCGACAACCACCCGGCGCCCGGCTGGCCGGCTCTGCGGCGGCGAACTGACGTGAACGAAACAACAAGCGACAGCGAGTACTCAGTTATTCAATCAAACAAAACAATCACTGCTAAACATACGCCCAAGGAATGCCACAAAGTACGGTCCCGAGCCACCTGCATCCATCGACTTCCTGCACATCTTACCAGGTTGTCACCGCAACTAGTGCGGGAACGCCCTACGCTTCGCCTGCCGGTTCGAGGCTGCCATTAGAGAACCTTTCATCCCCATCGGTTGTCGATTCTTCGAGCTATATGGTCAGCCCACTTCTGACTTCGGTTTACTAATCCGTTGAACCATGTCTGTTTTAAATACCACACTTACAGATCATCTGACTATATTCATGTGCATATCAAAACTTAAAAGCAAAACAATTAATCGAAAAATCATTGAGTTTGTAAATTTTGAAACTGCATATTAGAGGCTGCTCCAAAAGAACCTGGAGTCTTTGCTTCTTTGCGACGATCCCGACTTAGTTACCAAGCGCCTTTTGCTATGGCTTTCGGAGTCACTGGATGAGACTAAAACAATTTAAAATATATTACCAAAAACCAGCAGAATATTAAACCTTGGATTACAGATGTAATTCTTAGGTATGTCAGAAATAGAAATAAAACGCAGCTAAAGCTTAGGTTCGATCCATCAAATGAAACTCTAAAAATTACTTTCAGACGATATAGAAACTACGTTAATAACCTTATAAAATACTAAAATGAATATATGACAGAGAACTATTAACTATTGCTGCCAAAAGTTCCAAAGAACTCTGGAAAGGAATAAAAACGGTAACCTATTCTAAAATTTCTAAATCACATTGCAAAGAACTACTTATATAGGACCAACACCGTCTGACTCTGTTAATTTGGTAAATTGTTATTTTGATAATATTGGCAAACAATTAGCTAATGATGTTATGAAAGGTATATCTCATGTCTCACAAAGTAGCACTCCCATTAACACGCTAAAACGACATAACACATATGTTGTGCTCTTGGAGACTGATCCGGGGAAGTTAATAGTGTGATCATGAGTCTCAAAACAGATAGCGCCCTTGGTTGGGACAATATATCGACCAAATTCCTTAAGATCTGTAGCCCTATTGTTGCGCCCATAATAAGTCATCTTGCAAATCAAAGATTTAGATTAGGTGTATTCCCTGCATCCCTAAAAAAATCTATTGTTACTCCGGTTCATAAGGGTGGGGACAGATATAACATCAATAATTATCGACCCATTTCGGTCTTACCCGTGATTTCAAAAGTCATTGAGAAACTCCTTAATACTCGACTGCTTAATTATCTACAAAAAATCAGTATTATTTCTAGCTCACAGTTTGGTTTATCTGTGGCCTGGATTATCTACGGAGGACGCAGCATTGTCCCTCAGGTCCCTTATTACAGATCAAGTCGACATGGCTGTTTTTCTAGACTTGAAAAAGGCTTTCGATACCGTCTCCCTTCCCACCCTTTTACATAAACTATAGTGCGTCGGTGTCCGAGGCGTACCGCTAAAATTGCTAAGCAATTACCTACAAGAGCGCACCCAAAGAGTGAAAATTGGTACTCACGTGAGTAAAGACATGGAAATAACCTTCGGTGTGCCCCAGGGGAGTGTACTTGCCCAATTCTATAAATGACCTCACCAATCTAAGCATTGAAGGTGGTTAAATTAAAAAGCAAGAGATACTTTTAAACTTTTAAACAGCAGTGTATTTTGTATGATTCCAAGAGTGTATAATTATTTACCCAACTCTCTGCTTGAAATTTCAAATAATAATTTATTTAAAAAAAGTGAAGACACTACTTTTAGAAAAATCATTATTCGGTAAGGGAATTTCTTGAAGACAAATTATTAGATGTAGTATTATAACCGGCCTACTGGTATTGTGAAATTAATTAGACATTTTATGTGACATTTATTTTACAAAGTTGACATTGTGTATTAATTAGGTAATCTCATGTGACATTATTTTAATAATTATTTAGACACCGTAATTTGATATGTAATAATTTTAATTTTTAATTTAAACTATAGCATATAATTGAGAATTTTTGCATGGCATGAGCCTAAATATGGCGATCAACAATGTAAATTGACCACTGTAACACCATCTGTACCCATATTGCGCAAATAAAGAATTAAATTGAATAAATTGAAAAAAAAATTGCTTAGGTCCTCCAGCAATGCTGCCATAAGGACTATATCGTCGTCAAATCGAAGATGAGTGATGTGCTCGCCATTGATGTAAATACCGTATCATTTTTAGTCCAGTTACTTGAAAACGTTTTTCAATCCAGCGGTGAAGAGTTTCGGGGATATTTTGTCACCCTGTCTTACATATGTCTGCAGTTGGATAGGTTTTGTACTATGGTTCTGTACTCGGACAACCATCCTTGTCCTTCTGTACAAACACTTCAGCACTTCGATATACTGACAGTCATCTTGGCACCGCCCAAATTTCGACGGAATCAAAGGTTTTCTCCTAATCCACATACGCCACGCAAAGTGGCAGATTGTACTCTTCGGTCTTCTGTACAATCTGCCGCAGGGTATGTATGTGGTCTATGGTGCTAAAGCATTTTCGGAAACCGGCTTATTCGGGAGGCTGAAAGTTTTTGAGTCTACATGCGAGATGATTCGTAATGTAATAACTCTCGAAAACAGCACGTAGAAGCAGCCCTGAAGGGAAATCGGTCCGCAGTTCTTCAAGAGAGTATTTTCGCCTTTCCTGAAGAACAAGACCAATGCACTTCTGCTCTACGCCTCTGGAGTAGTGCCACCATGGAGAACGGAATTAAAGAGCTTCTGAAGAACTTCATTTACCTGTTTTCATCTGGTTTTAGAAGCTCCGCTGTAATTCCATCTTCTTATAATAGTATTAGAAGAAAAAGGAGAAAAATTCGTGAATGACTTTTTACGATATGCCAAACATTTATGTGAAGAGCTTGGAACATCTTTTGAACTCCCAAGACGAATCTGGAGGAGGCATATTTTTGGCGATGAAAATGTAGATGTTGGGTTATCGTACGAGAACGAATTGAGGCGAACAATGTTTACTTCAGAAGACAGAGTAATTGCTGAAATTCATGATGAATTCCAACAGCTGAAAAATCTACCGCAAAAATATGTCTTTATAATGCCTGTAGTAATATTGGGCCGGAAGAATTTAACTTACATCAAGCTCAGGGACATAAATACAGAAGAGTTCCAACAGAAGCGCGCCTGTAAAAAGGGCTTATTAAGTCCGGCGTTCTGGGTTTGTTAAAATACGTAATTGAGTGCAAACTTGAAGATGGCTTACTAAACATTGTTATAATACAAAATATTAAAATAAAAAATTAAAATAAAATAAAAAATAATACTGAGGATTTTTTAACATCTGTCTTTAGTAATGAAAGTTGCGCGATAAACTTCTATAAACTAAATTTATCTGAGATTAACAGATTTTTTAAATTTAATTTGTTTTAAAAATAAATGGCGCTCTTGTCTGCCCCTTAAGTATAACTATAACTAAAAATATACTTTGTTGCTATATCTGTAAAGGTTGCAAGTCTTGAGCACTATTGTTACGAGCATAGGATTCGTGACAATAAAAACTGCCGATTGGATTACCAAAATTGACACTTTAATTACCGACACCGTACAAAACTTAAAACACATATTAGTAACTAAAGTGTTAAGTGTGATTAA